CTGCTACATCGGCGTGGCGACCAAACCGGGCGACGCACGCACGCCACGTGTACTTGCACACGCCACGCACCGGCACGACGACGTGTACGCCAACGCCACGCACGCTGCACCGGTATACGTGCACACGCACATCATTCTTACACATTCTGGCTGGCGGACATTCCGCTGTTAGTATAACATTTGTGTGACACATCTTTGATACATGCGGCCAGTTATTGATGCGCATTGCCGCCAGCAGTCTACGATTCCGCGCACATTCGCCTGTTTAGTACCACATTGGGTCGCTGTTTAGCGTGAGGCACATCCGCTGTTTAGTATAATATTTTTACACATATGTGATACATTGCGCAGTGGAGGGGTTGATGCACATGTGGCGCCACATTCTTACCATTCGCGCACATTCCGCTGTTGTAGTAGCACATGCGCCTGTTAGTAGCACATTCCGCCCTGTTTTAGTAGGCAGCATTTCGCTGTTAGTAGCACATCCCTGCACATTCTGGATCATTTCGCGCGACATCTTGGCACATTCCGCGACGAGTTCCTGCCGCACATTCTTGCACATTCCGCGCCGCGCACATTCCTGCACATTTCGCTGTTTAGTAGGACCCTTGCATAGCAACGAATGATGTTGCGATGCCGATGGTCAAGTTAGATAGGAAAATGGGATATCTTTGTGTTGTGCCGATCTGTGGGCCAATAAACTATAAAATATGTAGAGCAAGTTTGTAGAATGGGCAAAAAAGAGAAAAAGGCTAAGAAGGGAAAGAAGGAGAAAGGCGCGTAAGTACTGAAGTTGCAAATCAGTAAGTACCGGTATCGTATTTACTCGTGTACACTGTAGCACAGTACTGTAGCCGTAGCCGTAGGCTATAATTATAAATATAATATACTATAGAGTATCTATATAGGTAGTATAGGGCCTAATTATTCATATTAATAAGACATTAAGGGCACTTTTTTCCTACACAACTTTAAAAGAAAAATCAGGTGTGCGACTTCTACACGGGGATAAGAAATCTTGTTAATGTATCAATGTTTGTACCAACCTTTCAAAGTAAAATATGGGTTGCGACTTATACACGAATGCGCTTATGCACGAGTAAATATGGTAACCTCAACCTGTCTACTCTACTCACTGCAGCTGAGAGGGTCTATGTCCCCCAGGGTACTGCCGGAACATACCCTGGGTACGGTCCGGTATACCGAAACGTACCCTGGTACTATATAATATGCTGGTCCGTACCTCGCCTACTCCACTAACGAGTCTAGAGAGTCGCCTACGCCTACTCCATAACCCTAACCCTAACCCTAACTCTGACTCTAACCCTAACCCTAACTCTAACCATATCAGATAGTTACTAGCTGAGTAGGGTACGTTCCGGTATACCGAACCGTACCCAGGGTATGTTCTGGCAGTACCCTGGGGGACACAGACCCTATGAGCCTCACTGCAGCCGTGCAGGGGTGGGGGGTATATATACAGGGTTAACAAATCGTAAACAATTGCTGTCAGTACGCCTACAGTAACACATAGTACATTGACTACACCTAATCTCCTACAACATATATAATAATAATATACACACACACACAAACAGCACGAATACACATCCAACAGCTTCCATCTTTGTTTCCATTTCAAGAACAGTGTTCACTTGTTATAAAAACATGTACTGTCTCTGTTCGTAACCGAGCTGTGTCACGCGAAATCACATAAAGACTGACGAAATTCTCGCGTTCGCTAACCTTGCCCAGTAAATGTAAATGGCTGTCAGGACCCAGAATCAGGAAACACCCACCGGTGCTCTTCGTGACCTCATTCTTGCGCCGCAACACTGAAACGTTTTTGCAACGCTCCAATGGCGAAGCTCGTACGGGAGTTGGAAAGCAGTGCGCCGCCTATAGTCCATAGACTGGTACTCGCTCCCACCTCTCGGCTTAGCTTAGTTACTCGATGGGTAATCGAGATGAGAGCGAGTACCAGTCTATATAGCCATGTACTGGCAGCCACTTAAATTTACTGGGCAAGGTTAGCGAACGCGAAAATTTCGTCAGTCTTTGTGTGATTTCGCATGACACAGCTCGGTTACGAACAGAGACCGTATGTTTTTATAACAAGTAAACACTGTTCTTGAAATGGAAACAAAGATGGAAGCTGTTGGATGTGTATTCGTGCTGTGAAGGCGTGAAATCAAGCGAGCGCCGAGCAAATTTAGGGATCCCGCTTTCCTACTTGCTATATATATAAGTGTAAGTGTGCACAGTGCAGCCACGAGAGCAATGGCCGCCGACAGCGTATGTTGTACATAGGATTTGGACGGAATTTACAGAAAACTGTCGGCAATAATACTAGGTGAAAGAGAGTATAGAAACATTAAGAATTTGGTATAGTAAATAGATTTCGTATTTATTTAGCATTATATTTTATTGAAACGCTTCAAGTGCCTGTGAGTAGTAGCATTAATAACTAGCCAGTAGCCACTAGGTACTCAGTTGGAAGTACAGGCAATTTGTATGATGATACTGATAGTGATAGGCGCATGACCCTGCTACAGTAGTACTACTACTACTCTAGTAGTAGTAGTAGTAGCAGTAGTAGTAAACCGACCAGGCTCTCCGACTGTTACACGTCGTAAGACGTAGTGTTAAGCGACGTACACTCGCCAACGTCGTAGCCGAGAAGGGAACTTCAACTTGTGGCATGCAGTACAGACTACAGGCTACTGAGTACTGAGTACTGTACAGAGTACTGTACTAGTACCAATACTAATAAATAATATAATAAAACTCCAAAGTAAGTATGAGTAGATTATGAATGATAACTGACCTTTGTGCTTATATGTTGTAACCGTACATGTCACACAGCGCATCTGATGCTCCTTACAATACAAAACTCCAAAAAATACATTTCATTTGATGAAATACATGCTTTCACTTCCATCACTTTCCAACTTTCTCGCTGCTGCTGCATGGTGCTGCCATCTTGCGGTAACAAGAGGCATTGCATACCGGTCCTACTAAACAGCGAAATGTGCCGCTGAAAGTTTGCGGTAGGTCATAGGTAGGCTTTTTTTTCTTGAAGGAGTCCTTCTTATCAAATCAGTTATCGTATCTACATGCTTCGGGTGTTGCTCTGTATGGAGGATACCTTTTATGTGAATGTTTGTTTCGCGGGGGGCGGCAGCCCCTATAGACGAAGCTCCGACTAGACCGACGTCCTCCGATAGACCGCCGACTGGCTTGCAAAGGGTTAGGGTTTTAGCAGTCTAGGCGTTAGAGTTAGTTAGTTACGGGATATATATGGATTTATAGTGCGCACCATCATATAGATTTATCCTAGTTGGCATCGGTGGCGATGTACGCATCATTCACGTTCGAATACCGGATCCAGTGGATTGTCCGGATGCGTAGCCCTGGACGGTAGTGCGACCGAGTCTGGGACGTGTAAAGCCACTGCGTATTCGAATACACCTCGCGTCTATCGGGCCTTCCGGTCATATCGGACCTTCCGGGGCCTATAGGGACTGTAACCTTGTTCTTGCTTGTGGCTACATAACTTATCGACTAATCAAGAGCCTCATAATATCTCTCTCACTTTACTGAGCTCTTTAGATATAATGATTAAACTACAGGATTTATATGTTACCACCTGCATACAATTTTGAAAAAAAAGATCAATAAAATATATTTGCTACGTCGGCTCCTTTTCGGCGGGTCGCGTCAAAGTGCAGGGCACAACAAACATATATTTTATTATGGCACATTACTGTATAACTTCCAGTTTCATGATACTAATAAAACAGATGTGCGGCCCCATATTATGTAATATAGAATGCTAAAATGCTTTTGCCATCAATGTTTTTTTCTTCACTGACTTTGTAACGCTAGCAGCTGTACAGTAGTTTTTACCTTAGATGTGGCACTCCCCTGGGAACACTGGGCATTTGACACTGGACTGATAAAGATGAATTATCTAATGGTATGAACTTCAGTCCATATATAAGCGATATAATTCTACATATTGGATTAACAACTAGAATCTCAAAATCTCATATCTCAGGGATACTACTGTTTTCACTAAAACTAATTATACCCGAAATGCCACTAGTAAAAGAAGAATTCACCCCTCCTACACCTGCATGTCCATAACTCTACTACTAGTATTTCGGCTGAGAGGTCTGATGTCCCCCCCGGCGGACGGTTCACTGCCGGAAACGTACCTGGGCTACGGTCCGGTATACCCGGAACGTACCTCGGTACTATCTAATATGCCAGACCGTACCTCGCCCTCACTCCACTAACGAATCTAGGGAGGCGCCTACGGCGGCCGCCACTCCCTAACCCGTAACCCCCAACCCCCAACCCTACCCTAATCCTACACCCTAAACCATATCAGCCTACGATACCACCGTTACCACGCGTCGTTCCGGTAATATCCGCGACCGTACCAGGTACGTATCCGTCCAGTACCCCGGCGGGGACATAGCGACCCCTCTCCAGCAATATTTAGCTCGGACTAACAACCTATCACGCATGTAACAAATGAACATTATTAGCTTTACTGACCCGTTCTGCCTCTACCATCACCCCCGCTGGACTTTCTCCTTCCCAGGTCCACTCATCACGTCTACTTCTTATTTGCGAAACATTATCGGTATCATGTATAGAATATCCAGTGGTTGATATGCAATTTTTTCCCAACAACTGAGAAGTATCTAGGAATTTTGTCAACGGTTATAGCACGTGGGTACAACTCAAACCACCCGATCCACTTGCACCAAATCAACCAGCTGTATAATATTCAGATAGAATTCGAAACAAAGAATCAACACATGTCCCCGATTTCAATGAGATGAGTAATTCTGGTACTATTGCAACTCCTTCGCCGCATTTCCAGGAGATTGCCCAAATTAAAGGTCCCTATTTAATACGAGGCGTCCTAGACGTAACGCTGCACGCCCTACTCACGATAATTCACGTCCACGTACCATTGACGCCACACGGATTGAATATGTTTAACCCATGCGTAACAGATGGTTTGCTTCGTCAACGCTCGCAGCACACAAGTAGTTCAGGCGCCAGGGCGGCCATGGGGAAACCCGATACACGACGCTGAAGAAAATTGCACATTACGCCCAGAGGCCCTCGTCTTTTCTTGTGGCAGCGAATTAAGCAAAAAATAATGAAATTTCGCAAAGAAGGCAAGACGACGTTTGGAGTGAGACGTTGGATCGCAGGCAGAGCGACAAAACTTGAAAGCATATTATCATGCACTTCAAAAAGATTGGAGGAGAAGACCCCAGAAGCTTCGAAATTATTGCGAGGATGGCACATCGACACTTGCAAGACACTCCATGAAAAGGGGTCACCCCACAAAATCCAACGGGCCTTTACCAAGCAATATGAGGAACAGTGATTGTATTGCGGCAGAACGTTTATCTGTTGATCCAGGGAGCCATGCTGTCCAGACAGCTGTTTCATTCCCGAGAGACTTAAGCACGCTGACCCAATCTCACCCACGCTGATTTGGTCGTTCTTTCTCCTGCTTCATGAGGTGCGGTAAGAAAATTAAACAGGCGTACTATGCCATACGATATCCGCAGGGCGTCATAAAATCGTCTCGTAGCCGCTTAGTTTACACGGTGCGTTATCCTGCACGTTATGCGTTTGACTGATGCGCACAGACCGTACGTCAGGACGCACTCGCTGTAAATAGGCCTTTCTCGCATAGGCGCAGTGCGGCAAGATATCATAACCAACGTTCCATTGTAACGGATTGGTGGGGCAAGACAATGATTTTCAGGTAACCGAAGATTTTCTTAATGTAATGAAATTGTTGTCCGTTTATATGGCACATTATTTGTTAAAACAGGCCTTCAAAATATGTTCTTGGAAGAGTGTGTGAGTGAGCTCTTCAATAGATGGAAACTGGTTGATTAAAGATCTATGTTACCATATATTTACACGTCAGTTAGCACAAATGGTTAAATCACTACATAGAGAACATTTAGCGTGTTAATTTAGAGAAGTGCAAAGGGGGTAGCAAACAAAATAGGAAAATAACTCTGCCAATTAAGACCCTGTATGATTTGAACTTCAGATATCACTTAACCCACTAAGTCGAAACTGTAGTGATTGTCCTGACTCATTCTCCAGATTATGGATAAAATCTCAAGCCTGATCGAAACTACATTTGATCACAACAGTGAAGCTGTTGCTGTAGAGATGCTCCAGGCATTTACTGCACGGATGTCTACATTTGGAAATATATTTCAACAAATCAAGTTAAGCCTAACATATTATATACTATATACTATATAATAATAAAATTGCGACCACACCCTATTCATAGAGATCCAGTGGCTATGTGCCAGAACTTCGATAAAAACAAAACAAGCTAACACATGTCAGCTGAACAACTACGTGCACATTTGAGACACTCAACAAGTATAGAAGCCCAGCTCACAGTCAGGTCACTACCGAAACGACTGGCCCAATAAAAGACACGTTCAAATGTGGCATGTGCTACTTGTAGAAATTCCAAGTATTAGAAAGATTAGTACAAGTCACCGCTAAGCCAGAATTAATGGATCAAAATTTTGATTTTGTCCCTACGGGCCCATAAAAGACCCGCCCCTCTACAAAATCCTGGATCCGCCCCCCGAGTTTGTTGTGTCATGATACTAGTAGCGTTACATGTGGTGGACAATGCACCATTGTAGAGAGTAGACGAGGACAGTCTAAATGACACAACAGCAAACATAACTAAAATGCTACTTCGGCAGGTTCCATCACGGTAAGGCGGGGGGTTTTTCTGCACAACAAGTAATGTCAGCATCACTTACCGTTTCTTAACTCATATTCTTCTGCTCAATGTTAATGGCTAAGACATATGACCAGTACATCTTACAGCATGGTTAACTACAACTGGCACAAGTGTACCTCTGACGTTAGCCACTTACTAATGCTGTTCTTAGGAGCTCATAGAGGGATCAAGGAATACATGGAATTTATGTTGGAATTACTACGTAGCATATAACTCAACGGCACATACACGAAACAGTTAAAAACTTGGTAGTAATTATTAAGTGTGTTATTATTTTACTATAAATCTTTTATTATTGAAATAAGCCAAGTGCCTGTGCAGCTGGCTGCCTATCCAACACCAAACAGCGCTGAATTTTATACGCCGTCGTAGCGACTATGATTTAGCATAGCGCAATCTTGGAAGCATAGGTTCACAGGAGTCTTTCGAAATCCCGAAACTAGCCCTATTACTATGCACGAGTAATTATTAAGTTGACTGGCACGTAACGCTTAAATGTGTTCTGCAACCCTTTATATATATTTCCTATTACTCCAGTCATTAGTGTTTACATTGGCTCATATGAGTATATACGACTCAATAATTAATATTACCCCAAGAGCATATAACTTCATGTACATAAGTAAGTACCATACTTAATACGCTTTGATTGGCACACAGGTACACACTACACGTCATCCTCTAGTGACGGATTCACGACCGACTTTGCCAAGCACAAACTAAAGTAAAAAACGTTAGACGTACAGATTAGCACTTCGCACCAGCAGAATTGCAGAGTCTCTGCCGAAGCGTGGGAAAAATTTATTTTCGGGGGGTACTTTTTAAGTTGTCGTGCATGAAAATACCCCACTCTAAAATTTGTTTTGCCCAATTGAACTCTATCAAATTTCCGGTGGCTCTTTTTGTCAATGGCCCGAGCCCCCGTTATCTTTTTTCACTGCTGCGAAGCAAACATCTAGGCCAGGCCACAGGCTCACTGTGAGCGGTTCAATAGATATAATGCTAAATAACACGAAAGAATATATATACGTGTAAAGTGAGGCAGAGGTGCATTCGGACACCTGATGCTGTGTTGCAGAGGAGCATTTGAACGGCATTTATAGGAAATTAGTCGGCCGAATATATACTGAATTACTAATTAGTAATAATAGTAACTAATATTCGAAGAGAGTAGAGAGAAACATGAAGACTTTTGGTAGTAAATACATTCGTGTGTTATTTAAGCATCATTATTTTATGAAAATGCTCAAGTGCCTGTGAGGCCAGGCTAGTACCTACTAGTAGTAGTAGTATAGTTCCGTAGCTAGTGTAGTAGCTAAGTAGTAGTAGTAGTACTGCTAGTATAGCCATATAGTATTTTTCCGAGTAGTAGCACGGCCTTGAAGCGTTTCAATAAATATAATGCATAAAATAAAAGACGAAATCTTATGTTACTACAAAAATCTTAATGTTTCCTATACTCTCTTTACCTAGTATTATTGCGACAGTTTCCTGTAAATTCCGCTCCAAATGCCGTATGTACAACATACGCTGGCGGCAGCCATTGCTCCTTGCGCCTAGGCACTCCTGTGTGTCATGGCGCCGTTCAAATTTCGTAGCGTTGATGTGTAATTAATTATAACAATTAAATTAGGTATCTAGTAGCAAATACGTGTGGGTATAGACGATTTGTTATACAGTAAATACAGTTGTATGCAGTAAAATCCTAGAGGCTACTCTCCCTTTAACAAAAACAAAATTATTTATGCCCCAAACTCTACAGAATCTCCTCGTTGCTTGCTTAAATACAATATACTGCGGTTTATAAGACGCTCCAGTCCATTAGACCCGTCCACCCCACCCACCCGTCACCCACCCATTTAGAAGGCATAACTACAATGTACCTGAACAAATTTGACTGCAGAATAGCCTTCCCCACTACCAGGTACATGCTCTCATCTCATCTCCTCTCCTCCTCCTTCACCTTATCCTCCTCCTCCTCCTCCTCCTCCTCCTCCTCCTCCTCCTCCTCCCGTTCCTTCTTGTTATTATTATATTTATTTTGTGAGAAATGAGCTAGCAAGCTCTCCAACGTCAGAACACTTACATGTGTTGCGCTTAGCAGGGGAGGTATTTTTCTACGGTACTAACACTTCCTCATTATTATTACGAATATTCTACATGAAACCGCACAGTGGCACGTGAATTAGTTCCAAGGGAAAGTCCCGCATCCGCCTATAGTTGTCTGGCTGTCTGCTGGTAGGACCGGCGTTCGGTCAAGTTACGCTACAGCAAGAAGGCAACTAAATCCGAGGAACGCCAGTCCCAAATTAAATTAATTAAAATACATAATAATTAATACTAACTGATAGCAATAGTGTAAAAAAAGTATATGATATAAGCAGAAAATATGCTATAACCAAGCTACAGAATCGTGTTCAGTCACATGTATAGCAGCCAATACAAGCACATACATCAAGGGTGAATAATGAGAGATTTATCTGTCATTATTCACCCTCTGATATACATGCATTGGAATATTTTATGGATACAAATAATAATTTTTGATGTTATACTAAGACCACAATTATTACGTTTTATCACGCAATACGATAACGTGCATTACAATAAAACCAACGTAATATAAATTCAGATGTTAAGCCACAATTAAAAAAATATTTGTTTGCCCTCACCCAGGAGCTAGCTCAAAATGCATGTATGTGTGTAAGATATGAAAGGAGGAAGACAAAAACTTGAAAAAGTAAGAGAGAGGAGGAAGGGAGAGTGATGGAGAGGAGAGGGGCTAGGAAGTGGGCGAGGGTGAGGTAGGGAGGGATAGAAAAAAATTTAAGAGAAGGGATGGATGTGGTGGACAGGGGGATCGATGAGATAAAGAGAGGAAAAGGGAAAGGGAGAGGTAGAGTGGGAGTACATTGTCGTTGAAGAGGGAAATATGACCATATGAATATGGAGTCGTAGTCTGAATCGATTTTGTTGTGGTGAACTGGTCTGTACTTGTGATGTCAAGTGGTGTTAAAAACAGCTGCTGCCGTTTTTTTAGAGAACTGCAGCGATTGTAAGGTGTAGTAATTTGTAAATTGTAATTTGTAATTTATATTTTTAATTTTTAATTGATTTGTAATTTATCATTTGTAAGGTACTAGTAGTACCTGCCATCACATGGGTTTGCATTACTAGTGTGAATTGATGATGAGAAGATTGATACCTGTCAACAATTATTTAATTATTCCACATTGGAAAGGATTGCAGTACTTTTTAGCTCCTGGTAGTTTTGACTCATTTTAAGATATCTGCTATCGTGTAGAAGGCAACAGTGTTGCAGTTTTCACAGGGAAATAGAGTAATCAGACCATGAACATGGAGTCATCATGTGAAAATGATGATAGCCAGACTGTCATGTCATTTGATGACGAGCAAGATGATATATCATCAGAAGCATCAGCGTCTCTGGCTGCCACATCACGTGCAACTATCGTTACACCATCGCCCGGCGGTGTTCAGTGAGGGCCTATCTGTTACATGTGATGCACAGTAGATGTGGATGCTGTGTTTGCACTGTTGCACAATGCTTGCTTGATATATAATTTACAAGCACTAATTTCCCTGCACCGAGTAGTATCGATCAGCAGCTGTTTCTATTAGCATACAGATTACATGCATGTGTGTGTGTGCACAATCAATTTAGTTACAAAAATAGAGAATCTTGGAAAATCCCAAAAATATCAGTGATGTGTTATACCTGACCAGATATATTAACGAATGAGATATGTACTATATAGTGTGGCATCAGTGTCATGATTAAAAATGAATGCAAATAATCTCCACTTTTTGTGGAATTCATGGTGATTACTAGAGTTATTAAACATGATTAAGATTTAAGATGAGACCCAAAAAGCTTTATGTTAAGCAGCCGCAGGCTTGTTAGCCTGGTCGGGTTATAAATTACTTGGTGAACAAGTCACAGTTTGTGGCTGAATTTGCCCTGTGTTGGCTTCTAATCAATTGCAATTCCTTAGTAGTCATAATGGTATGTATTATTGTTTTTGTCAATCTGTAAAATGACAAAATACAACTCCATAAAGTTCAGAAATGTTGAGGGACGAGTCTAATAATTAGTTACATTGAATGAATTGAATGTTGTTTGAATGAATTTCTGTTAACATATCTATTGAAGTTGCATGCGTATTCTGTGTGATCAGCATCTATGTGAGTAACACAGTGAAATTTCAGTCCCTCTGAGTAGGGTTCATTTAACTATGCTGATTCTTCTTCATAATTGTAGAAAAAAGGGTAAGAAGGCACAGAAGGTTCCAACTTCAACAGATGCTTCCCCAGCAGTGCTCCAAATATGGGAGAAAAAGGTTGAACTGCTGGAAAAAAGCAAAAATGAGTATAGGTAGGTATATTCATGTGTTAACAATACTACAAAAATGACAGCATCATGTTAATGAAAAAAGTGTTGGGAAATACTTTATTCTGTTTTATAATATAATTTACAGAAATTAATCAGAAGTTTCGTATAAAATATGATAACAAATATAGTTCCCTCGTGCAACTAAGACTGCATAACGTTCATAAACCATGTGTTGGTACGTGGATTTCTTGAACCTCATCAGTAGTGGCTCTCAAAGTATCTATCTTTAAGATTTTGTTAAGGTACTCAACAACTAAGTCCATTAAAATAGTTATTATGTCTGTTCCTGCGCTATTTATTCATGCGCACATCGACACTGCAGAGAGGTCTCCAGAAAGTTGTTGAGTCAGAATGAATTATTGCAAGCACAGCTGCAAAAGTCGGAGAAGGATACTGTTGATGTTCTCTCCTTCCTCAAGCGACAGGATGAGCAAAAGCAAAACCAGATTGAGAAGTTGGAGGGTGACAGTGAGGGCACAAGGTGTCAGTTCCAGCTCCGAATTGAAAGAATGGTATTTGGTTGGATTCAAATGGCTAATAATGTAGCAGGGTTTCCTTAGTTATGCCTGTCATGCGTGGCACATATTACGTAGCTCGGCTACCCGTGATGGCCACCATTGTTCGTCATATAGTAAATAAACTTGGAAGTAGAAAAATCATTGACTTCCTCTTTACACAGGAGGAGAAACATGTGGAGAGTGCAGAGGAGCTACAGACACAGCTCGAAAAGAAGACCCACGAGCTGGAAATGGTTCACCATCAGCTAAAGTCTGTCAAGGATTTCCAGACACACAAAGATATCATGACAAGAGAGATAAACATTGTGAGATTATTAACTTATTATATGAGCCCATCATGACTAACCTGCATGGTTAGAGATAGCTGTAAGATCGACCTATATCTAATTATGTAAACTTAGTATCTGGGTTTCTTTTGATATAGATTGTATGCACCCTACGTAGGCACAGATCTTCCCCCATGCTATGTGCTGCTCTTTTTTCACTTTGTGGTAGGTTTAACCCCATAAATTATTCCCTACATGCTCGGCTATTCTGCACGTTACAGTTAAAAGATACGCTATTGCATGCGAAGAAGCTACACAGGGCAACACTGTACAAACTGGAGAGGAGGTTCTTTGAGGAGAAGATGAAACTGCAGCAGGAAGCAGGCCAGAAGATTGCCGACCTGTCTGAGCAGGCTCATAACCGTGCTGTCGCGTAAATAGTGCTATATGATACCATACTCAATACATTCTAGGCTGGGAATTCGTAGTATATTATTATGGATGTGGCAAACATTTGTACGTGGGCGAGTATGTCCATATAAGAGAGGATGTCACATAACAGGAAAACCCTGCTCATTAAAGGAAAAAGATGAAGAAGTCATTGGCCAGAAACTACATTTTTACATCCTAATTTAAATGTGCACCAAGTGATATCCCATACAAGTGTCAGTGATAACTATACTCAGCGAGGTTGCGAACGATGCACAGATTTAATCCTCTCTGTTGTAGGAATCTGAGTGAGACGACAAAGGCGGTGTACAAGGACAACCAACGTATGACGACAGTACTGAGCTTTCACGTGAAGAACAGCAACGCGATGCGCCTGCAGCTAGAGCAGCTGCAGTCAGAGAACAGAGAGCTGCAGCAGGACAAGGAGCTCAACGAGCAAATCGCACATGGCAAGATTGAGGAGTCGAAGAAACAGAAAGATCAGATAGCAAAGGCAAGGGAAATAACTAGTGTGAACTTTCTGAAGTGAAACGATTAGCTTAACGTGTGATGCAGTTGAGAGTGGTTTTAATTTAATGTGACTGTACAGTAAACCCATTAATAGTCGGGTGCTGGTAGAGTTAACAGTTGCTGAGTGTTATAAACTTTAAACTTGTTTATCTTTTAGTTGCAACAGCAGGTGGAGTCCCTAAAGAAAACCATTACAGTGCTGTCAGAGAGATACAACACAGACAGGTCTGTTCTTCTTCAAGAGAAGCATACTGAAACACAGTCTTGCCAGGCTGAACAAGCAAAGCTTCAGCAGGTGTGCATGTAAATGTCTCATTGCAGTCTTGTGCATGCATGTTGACGGTGCGTATCCGTTGCATTATTATCACGAACGCATGTATGCTGTGAACAAAAGTATGTAAGTGTTAATGATATTGTATATAGTGTTCTAGCTCTGCTATGTGAATCATCACAATGTGGTTGCTCTATCTAGTAGCTAAAACGCTTCTCTGTTATCTATTTTTGCTATTAGTCATGAAATCTGTTGCTGCCTTACAGGCATTACAAAATAAGTGCCATGAGGTCAGCAAGGTGCGTCATCTAGCACGGAGCATTATACGTCAACGAAGCGAGATGGAAGAGTTCTTTCTGGATGCACTCGAACATGTGAAAAATGAAATCACTTTCACTAGGTATGTACCTTATCTATAACTGGATTGGCAACAGCGTGATTCTAGTAATAGTCGGAAGGCGGTGCTGTCATGGTCCGTTTTAAATTTCTGATAATTTTTCAGGCAGCAATACAGGAAAGAAGTGCAGACTAAATATAACAAGCGCATGATGGCTGCCTACTGTGGCAAGGGCAGCTACCCTCCTGTACGTACATTCACAAAACAGAAAGGGAGTTCCAACAGTGTTTTCAGTGATTTGGAATTGGGTGAAAATTGGTAAGTGATGTCGTGCAACTGCTTAGTTTGAAAATGTAATTAATCCTCAATTTTAAATAATTCAGAAACCACTGAAAAAGTGTGTAGCTATGGTATGTCTGTACGAAAATAGAGCCAAAAAAAATTGTTATAAAGTACTTGCAGTAAAATGATGGCTTGCTTGTAGCCTAGTATATAAAATGTTTTGTCTGAAAACATGACCTTGCCAATTATGTGCTCGTGTTTTTGCATGCAGCGAGAAACTCAAGATAGGGTATGTAGTGCTATGTACTCATTATTCCTAAAGTAATGTAGTCAAACACAAATTGGAGTGTTGAAAACACAGGCAAAGAATGAATGAATGAAGGAAGGCAAAGAACCGATCGTATAGCACAAAGATTCGACGATTGGTTGAGATTGTTGACTGTTACTTGGTTAAAATTGACTTTCCCGGTGCACAGAGCTTGATGTTGCCCACAAAATGTGAAATATAATACAACTGCTGTAGTTCATTGCCACTGCTCTGCTTCTGTAGGACGGGTGTAGATGGCAAGGTAGACATCAGCGACTTGACATGGGAACAGAAGGAGAGAGTTCTGCGCTTCCTCTTCAGCAGGATGAACAGCAGATCGCGAGGAAGGAGGCAACAGCCGCTGGACGCGACACCTGGCCCCCGGGGCAAAGCCCACAGTATCAGGTAACCAACCACACATTACAATCAATGGTGCATTAGAATACCTAGCTTTGGACTTTTGACGAATTCTGTCAATGCTAATTCTAGAGCTTTATGGGTCTCTACTACAATAAAACACCTGCCACTGTGATGGCTAGCATTTGATCTGCAGAATTGTTATGGGGTTTTATGATACTAATTAAATGTCTAGATAGCATGGTAGCATTAATATTAAACCGGTATCTGATATTGAAAATATCAGTGAGGTATACAACAGGCAGTCATTAACTCGTTGGATGTTTTGATACTAGCATAACTCTGGGTTTTTGTACATGCTCATGAATGTGGTTAACTTTGGTTCGTTGTTTTATGCCATGTATGGCAGCAAAATTACCACGACAGACCTGCCTAAATTTTTGATTGCATTTGATAGTGTGAACAGTTTTGAACATAATGAAGTAACGTTGCTTTATGTGTTATTCAGTGACCAGGTAGCAGAATCTACTGATCACACATTCATCACTCAAGCCAAAGTAGACAGGACTGGACATGTGTTGGGCCAAGCAGACATAGCTCAAATAATAGAACCACTGGGCAGTCTATAGCTTATACAGATGTGGTAAATTTAACTGTAACCATGTAGATATTGCTGTGAACAAAACTATTCAGTAATGACACTAGCTGACTATTTGATTCAGCTGCCTGGTGTACTTATAGTCTGTTTTAGTGTTGTGCATTGTGCAGTCTATTATTTCCTTTGATATCAGTGCCATATGTTGCAGAAAAATGCACAAAGCCAGTTGAATCACACCGTCATCGTAACTATTTAAATATAATTGTAATGTGAAAGTCTAGCACATATACATCATATTTGACAACTATTATTTACAGATATAATATATTGCACATTTTTAGTGCTTGTAAATAACAAGTTTGTAATGTGTTTCTAAAATCAAGTTATATTTCACATGTGTGTACTTTATAAAATTATACATCCTGATATTAGTAACACAGTAATTAGTATAAACCTGCAAACTTAAAACGTGTAATAACAACTTTCAAAGACAAAATTAACCATTTGCTACTTGCACCACATGCCACGTACAATTAAGTTAGGATTTGTATGATACAAACAATGTAATATTCACAGAAGAAGAGTGCAAGCTAAGCACTTTACCGTATCAGTACAATATGAAGGTCACTATATAAGCTGGGGTTTTGGCATTGCTGAATATATGAATAATGACATCACAATACCGCATTAAATGTTTGCAACACTTGACGGTCAAAGTCATGCAAAACACAAAATTTGTACTATCCAAAACTGAAACTTTTTAAAATGCTACCCACAACTTTAAGAAATATATATATTAGCAGAAGACTATATCAGCAGCTTTCAGAATATGATTTTATGCCTTAAGCCCGGCGCACACGTGAGTCATTTTACTCGCGTGTGCGGCGGATTTTCGTTGAGTAATTTGACGCATGCGTCATTTTACTCGCGTGTGCGGCGGATTTTCGTTGAGTAATTTGACGCATGCGTCATTTTACTTGAGTAAGGGCTTTACTACACATATTCCTCAGATAATCAGATAAAATAACAAGTTTGTAGTTTAGGAAGTTAGCATAGCAGGATGGTACTGAAAGAGAGGGAGAACATATCTTTACACGTTCAGGCATACCAATAAGAACGAAGTGCTGACATGCGTGCGTTTTAGCAGGTTGTTAACCTCCTCCCCCTACAATTGGCCCCTTATTATCAGCAATCGCAGGCTTTCTAGACAATTATTTACTCTGCTTTATCTAAGAAGAGCAGTGACATGACGGTGACTCTTGGGGGAGAAAACCAATAGCTGCAATTCTGATCACAGCTTGAATCAGAGATCGGTCACCTGATTAACCTTAACATCTGCATGCATTTCTGGCTGTTTTTTTATTTTTATCCTGGACGACACACAGAGGAAACCTTTCCCCACCACACCACAAATGGTGCGTAATTTATCCCAAGCATGAAACTTGGTTTATCCCCTTACCCTGTTATACAAGCAATCTCATCTACTTATAGTGTAATACCAAAAATAGATAAAAGTAGATAAATAAAACTACAAAAATCAAGTCTCATATATTTTTGGCAATATATCTAATATAAAAAAACAATGTATGCCCAGCACACACATACACACACACAGGTCCATGCTTGGCCAATTTTCACTGCTCTTACTCTTCTAAATGTGATAAGAAGAATCTTACCGAAAAATAACCATAATGGATGAATCGACTCCAGTTTTACAGCATGTACGTTAGCTGTCACTGGCATATCTCTGCTATTTGTCGAAACACACTGTAAAACTGCACCAAACTGCCCTAACCATGAGTAATCAACTGCACTGATAGCTGCTATTACAATCAGCTGAACAAGATCCAGCCGTGCCAACATGTGTAATATTTTAATGTACCTTTATGGAAATATAACATCAAGAGTTTAAAAAAAAGGTATTATTAGCTCTTGAACATATCGACATCAGCTTCACCTGCTTGTTCTTTCTCTTGTCTCCCTCCCCGATCAGTTCTTATACAGAAATTATAAATGACACTAGCAATATTGAGAACGCTGACCCAACTGCAAGTCCAAAGGTCAAAAACGTCGCACAAATAGCACCCCCTGTCTCCACAAATTGCTGTGGTGCCTGCCTACAAAAAGTAACAGAAAATACCTATGACACTGATGCTCTCTAACTAGCAGCTATTTTAACATGCTCAGGACAAGGTGTAGGTGAGGAATTCACCACTACTGAAATATCATTGTGTGACCTATCAGGTGACAGCTTTCAGAACAAATGTGTCTATACAAAGCCAACTTGCACTAATTACATCACTGGGTGCAACTACACTACATGGACTCTATTCAGATGCAGCAGCAGCATTCCAACTTAAGCACAAACCTGCATATAATGCAAGAAAATGTATTTACATGAGCAGATAGTTATTGAAAGCCCAGACAGTCTCTCCAAACAACACAAAACTTACAATTATGTATACATATGTGTATATACATACTATCATACTCTTTAAAAGAAGCCTCGACCAACGGATTGCCATTTAATGGTGCAAGCAAAAAATTAATTTAATAAACACTTACTATAGTAAGTATATTATCATTTCATCTTGACTTCGTGTATTAACGACTTGATGCGTGCACAAGCAGAAGTGCTAGTGAGGGCTAGCATGCATCGCATGTTGCCGATGCGAGTGCACAAAGTGTGAGTAGCACTCTGTTAGAATGGCCCTTTCAATGGCTATTTCGCTTTAACATAAAAGCCTCAATATCGTATCTTGTTCATTAAAAGAGCTATGATAGCATATGTACATTTATTTATGTGTGCATGTGCATGCATACAAGAGCGTATTAACCTACCTAACACGCTCTTGATGCATATATATGTGTGACAGTGAGTATTTGTTAAACACATACCACACATCTAACACTCAATGTAGAGAAAAGAGGTTTATAGCATACAGCAGGTGAAATGTCACATAAATGCAACAAGTACAAATGCACATATTGAACCAGCAAAAAGACCAAACGACATCATTGCTGAACATATGGCACCAGCTGTGTCTGCATCACTTGGATACACATTCCTGCAATAGGATAAACATTTTAGCATCAGATATTCATATTTTTTCTATACTTAAAAAAGACATTAAAGGTAGCTTCCCTCGAACTTTCAAGCGGCAAACATAAAATGAGGCAAAAATGAATAAGCAAAATTAAGGCAATACGTTCATTCAAAGCTTTTAGACTACAAAGTGAAACGTTCGGGTCAAATGTTTCAAACGCGTTTACCGTTGCCGCTATGCGGCGATTGTTCCGCTCCGCACACTTGCCGTGTTATGTATGTATGAACCATGCTATGTAATATTATACATACTGGCAGGTTATGACCCAATGGTTTTTCTGGTCACGTACTTGGCTAGCTGATAAGGAAAGCGCAACGTTGTTGTTGCTGGGAGATTATAGTATACTGAGCGAGTTAACGAGTGAGTGAGTCGAGAGTTCTGTCAGGTCGCTGTTAGTTCGGATTACGTGTTGTTGGGTTTTTATCACGTTCTACCTCGAAAACAGTTACTGTAAAAATTCTGAAATTAATAACATAAACAGTCGAGGTACCTCTCTGTCTAGACTACAAAGTTTGCTTTCCTAAAATGATTTACATTAAAAGTTATGATATCTGAAAGTGGCTACATTGACTCGATTGAAATGATGGTTGGTCAAATATAAACAATATGGCGCCTACGGAACCGCGGCGAAAAGCGTTTTTCGAGTTGTTTCTTTGATGAGCAATATAGGCTTGATACATATTTTTACAGTTTTATTTTCAAACCTAACGTTCAGTTAAAGTGTAGTGAGTTATTTACTGACATTTTTACAGTGGTTTGTTACACAAATTTACGTGGAAAGTTCGAGGGAATCTCCCTTTAACATTAAAGTGGTTATAGTAAGGTCTTATTGCTTTTAATGGCAGTGGAGCTAGAACTTTGATATTTTTTCTCTCTACCTATGATTTTCTAATTTCAAAGTAGCAGGATATTTCCCAAACGTACTGTAATATAACCTTTGGGAGACCAGACGAGCTAGTGGGATCATAAAATTATAAATGGCAGCACTGGAAGATAGCCGTAGGAAACTATTAAACTGTGACTTTACTTCATGTTGATAATTTTTGTCCTTAAGTCACTCCTAGTTTTCTTTGCATATTTTTAGGATGTTAAAAAAGTTTAATAAAATAAGCACTTAAGAACTGAGTTAATTTATGTTTTTTGTTCATGTGACAAAATTAATTATATTTAAAATTATACACAAGGAAAATTTAGATGCGGGTGAATGAAATTTTGCGATAAAGCCTCGAGGGCGAGTGACACTGAAATACGCAGCAACTAAGAAGCACTGATTCTAACCATAAACCTACGTTGACACGTACGGCTAGGAACTATCAACGAGCGTGATAACTAGGCAATCACTGACAGCTATAATATGCGCTGTTCATTCTCGTCCCACAAGCGAGATCGTCTAACTAAGCAGGAGTACTTACTGTGGTCCATACATCATGCAGAGGGAGGCTAGGTAGCCGTTTGTAGTTGCAAACAGCAGCATGAAGACAACCGGATAGATGTCGGTGTTGAAAATCACCGGGATCGTTCCACGCGGCTGGATGTTGCACAGCAGGAAGAGTGGGATGAATCCCACTCTCAGGATGCACAATAAAGGCAGCAGGTAGCTGCCTCTACGTGGCTACAACAAGCAGTGAGTGTAACCATGGTGATAACAGCTACCCATACAATATTGTACTGGCCCATATTTATTCATGGGCATCTCTTGTGTATTTGTGTTTTATGTGAGGAAACATTTTTAATGACGATGGGCATAAAAGCATGTCCGGACATATATAAATGGGACACGTATTGAAGTATACTTACCAAATTGAAGTATAAACTATATTAGAACAGTATTGCTCTCACCCATTGTATAAACGCTGCAACAACCCTACCAATGAGATCACCCACATTGAACATCAGGAAGCAGTACACCGGTATAAAAAACTGATCTGAAACAGAAACAATCTGGTGTTAAGACTGCAGAGGGAAGGAGTGAGCTGTAACACAACAAAAACAAAAGTGGCCGTGTACAATGACAAAAACCACAAAACAATTGTTTGCACGAATGCTTTTGAGATCAAACGTGTTTGATATTCACGAGAAACATATTTTCTTGAGGTCATGGTCGTTTTCTCTGGACACAAAAAAGGTTATAAATGAGTTTTGCCTCATTGATCAATCAGCGTGTGTCTACCAATCATGTGATATCAAAATGGCAATGCCCATCAAAGAGTGTGGCAAGCGAATAAAGAGGAGATACTGACTACTTAGCGGAAAAGCCACAAAAGCTGTCTTAATAGCAATATCGGGAAGCTTGATATACAGGGTGAATGTTTATTTAAATTTGTGTGACACTGTTGGTGTAGCCATAGATATACACGTACAACACATGTGTTGTGTTGTGTATATCTATGGTGTAGCCAACAATCACAATACAAAAATTTGCCTTGCATGCTGGGTGAAGACAGATACAAAAAACACGCTGTCAAACAAGAATCCGCCATGTACGGCGAACAAAGATAAAAGCAAAAAATTACCGTGTGTTTAGCTTTAGTTTCTATGCACACATTTTCATGGATAAATCTGCAGCATACTAAATTTATGACAACGTTTATATAAATTGAACTGTAAATTGCTACATTATACATACTCGTCCATCTAGTTCCACTATCCTTGTTCACACTTTGTACATTGGATGTAAGAGGAGGAAACAAAGACAACGTCACAAAAAACACCATCCAAACTGACAGAGCCTCCATCTTCACCTGAAAAACACAAGCGTGGTCTCAGTCAACCACCAGTACTATAGAATGCAAACAACACAATTTCAATACATTTATTATAATCAAAACTAAACATTGCAAACAAACCTTGTCCTCATACAATTCGCTGGGCTTGTTTACAAGAGCACACACAAGCAATTAGTATTATATATCCTTGTCATAAATATTTACATGCAATATGTTCCATCAATCGGGCAACATGGTGACCATGAAATTAGCAAATAACCTAGAAATACCTAGATTATAGCTGAGCTACCTCTAGCTTACTGCATTCATTTCGAGAAATCTTCATATTTAGTTAATGCTGTTGAAAAAATCACTGACAAGATAATGTCAGATATGCTTTGAATTTAAAAAAATCAGTTATGTATGATTCATGTGTTTCATATTAAGGCCTTGCCCTCTTATAGTACGCTCTGTTGTGTATACACTTGAAAATACCTTCTTGAATATAGCAATGAAAGGAGGCTTTTCTTTCTTAACACCAATGCCTGAACCTTTAGCCTGTTTAGCTGCTATCAAGTGATCAGAAGTTCTTTCATCTGGATGCTGAAGGTAATAATGGCCAAAATCCTGTGTAAAAAATAAACGATAAATTATGATTAGAAATAGTATACGATTATAAAATACAACTGGTTTCTCATCTGATATGAAAGTCTCAATGTTTTTAACCTACATTAAACATTACTTATTATATGGTAACAGTAACACTAATGCATCTCATGCATGGTAACTAAACAAAGCAGCAATGAAGAGTTGTGGGACTTAAGTGACTACATTGTCACATATAGATCAGGAACACTAAAATTAAATGCGGCTACGTACACTACACGCAGATTACCAAAATTTCCTTGACATATCAGGTACTAGGGCAGTGCTATCACGTTATATATTACACCTCATATACAAAGCTGCCTGATTTGCTGGGCTTTCCAACAGACGTACCGTACGTGGAATGGCAAGGTAGGACACAATTGCTATCAGGATAGCAAACGTGGCTGCCAAGAAATAATTGAAACCACTCTGAAGAGGATCGTCCTGTGTTCCGAGCAAAGTGATGATGCTTGCGAGGGAAGCAAACATACCTGCTATGGCCTGTGGATCGAGATAACCATTGCGAACATTGGACACTATTTAATGTGCCATCAATCTAGCTTTAGTCAAAATCAATCGGCTGTGCAATGACGGCAAAGGTTACCATACAAACTCTTAACACTGAACCACTATTATCTGGCTTATAATATTAAAATAGCTTTACATTATTTCTGCATATTAAAGTTAATCTTAATGACACTATGATATGAGCTAGTGTTGGCCAAGCCAGACACTAAAATTAAGCATGTACACATTTACATTTTCAGTGAGGTGGCTAGGGATGAATCTTGCAGAAATGAGTGGATTACAGAACACCCAAGAATGGGAAATTGCTGCAAGGGGCTAATGAACTGTGTACCTGGCCTGCCATAACTCCGCTCGTATACTTTTGAGGGAAAAAGCCTGCAAGCCCGAACAGACTGGCCTGGATCACAGCACATGCACCTGAAAAACCACAAGATGGCATGTATAAAGCATATATATAAGTATCGACTGAATAGTTTTCAGAATCTCTGAAAGTTATACTAAAACTGACACGATCATTCGTAACGACTTCTTCCCAATATGTTAAGTGGTTATAGACAATGCTGTACCCAAGATAAAATGTTTTTTATCTTTTAGTGAACAACATACAGCCAAAGAAGTTCAAAACGTTTTCTCTTCCATGCAGCGAAATATGAAAGCTTATTGTGTGTGCATGCGTGCGTGTTGTGCATCCAACTATTTGTAATATATACTCACTGCTCAGAATGCCAACAGTCAAAACTGTTATCACAAAAAATGCCACTTGCCCTAAAACACAAGATGAATGAATATTTTACAAGTTTATACCTTGATACGACCAAGAGTTGATCATAGTTACAACGCAAGAATCCTGCTCTAGTTTATGTAAAATTAATCTGTTAAAAATATGAATGTAAAACAAGTGAATATTCTTGTACTAATAAGAATCCGATCTACCATAAAATAGGATCAGGAAGATGCAGGAGCTTCTGTCTTAGGGCATGTTTTCCTATTGTACACTCGCTATATATTTTCTATTCTCATATGACTAAACAATAAAGACTATATATATTATTTCTCCACATGTTGATTTATGTGCAGATGCCAATAAATACTCATCTTGTCTGTAGGCTACGGGTAAACACACAAACAGCGATGTGGAGCACTGCACATACAATACCATTGCAAACATATAAATGCTCTTATCTGAGCCAATACAGTTTATGGTTCAGATTATCTACCTATATCCTAGAGTTATTACTACATATCTCTATCTCTATTAGAGTCTATAAAAACCAAATGTAAGAACAAGGAGCATATAAACGAGAAGAACGGCACACTGAATAAGCAGGATTTAAAAAAACGACGAGTGCTAGTGATTATGAAGAATGTATGCTTACATGAATCAGTGTCCACTTGTGTAAATATCACAGTAAGAATGAACAGCACTACCATTGTAGACATTGCTCCAAACATTCTCACGTTGGCACACAAGCTACAAAAGCACCAACAATCAAATGATTCTATATAGGCCAGACAGGCAGTGTCGAAATAAATAGTAATGGTTTTTAGTGAGCATTCCACAAGTGTGATAAAATAAGACAATGAAATACAAGTGTCTCTACAATGACTGCACTTTTTCAGCTACTGATCCTTACTGATTCAGATGAATTCAACTAATTTATAATTAAGCGTAACTCAACCGAAACGAACTCAACAGCATATCACACGTGTAACGTTACCGAGCTCAACAAATTTGGACCTAATTGCTACAAAGCAGTGCATGCACCTAATGATAAAAACTGCAGGTCAATAAAAAGTAAAAACTAGGAGTCACTTACGTGTGCATGATAGATGATGTGACAAACACAAACACAACGTTAGTCACCATGGATGTAACCGAGAACCAGTTCTCAAAGGTAATTTGCAGGTACGTTTTATCATCCACCTCGTAGATGGAGGCATTGTGTGACGTATTTCGTAACTTGTAGGTGAAATACTAAAAAAACAACAGCATAATTAATCCAGGAAAATAGACCTGACATAGTTGCTAACATTTCAATACCTCCGTACACAATCACTCCAACACACAACTGGCGAAGCATATCTTGACGGAATAACTAAAATACAAACCATTCCAACACTATCGCACTAACGAAATTCAATTATACGTTACTTCCGGAGCACTTGCCTCATTAGCAGTAATGAAGAAATTCCATGGAAGTAGTTGACCCAGTCCCAACATAGTCATCATGAGATAAACCATGTAATACCTGTATAATGAGTACAAATACATCAATGTTGAAAGAACTTCATAGTTGTGTTGTTCACAGTTGTTGCATGCATTAATGTGCACACACCATAATCATTTATCTAAACATTTTATCTAAACATTGACATTATTAGTGTCAAGATGAAATTAAACATAAAAGTTGAACGTATGCAATTTAATAAAAGAAAAAAATCCATTTTACAGGGTGATACTCCATCAGGAGTGTTCCCAACTTTAATGTCTAATATATATGGTCATGGTCATATATTAGTTTGTGGTATAATGTCATTTAGGTTAGGGTTAGGGTTAGGTTTAGGGTTAGGATTATCAATCATTAATCATTAATCATTAATCATTAATCATTAATCATTAATGATATCAAAGTTGGGAACACTCCTAATGGAGCGTTAACCATTTTACAATGTAGTATTGTATTTTAATTATGAATCAGGCATATATTTTCGTACGTAAAATTTATCTTTAGTCAAGTGAAACGGTAAGCATGTTTTTACACAGCTATCACTTGTGTTTTCAAAGTGATTTAAGCACTTCTTTGCAGTTTAGCAATGTTTGGGCTGTTTCAAGTAATACTCCAGGCACACAATGGCAACAGGATAAATACACATTTTTGTGGGTAGAAAAAATTCTGGTGTTAGGTAATTCTTGCTGAAGGGGTCGTTGTCATATCAGGTACTACATATATGTACCCGAGGTACATATATGTATACACAAAGTGTACCAGACTTGTACTACAGAAGTGTACCCTAACTCTAACCCTAACCCTAAACATACCTCATATAAAAATATAAAAATAATACGAAATAACCTCAAACTACCTCAGATACATATATGTAGTACCTGATATGACAACGACCCTTCGTGCGTAATTCTTTAGTGACAGTACATGATAGTACATGGTCCAGACACACGCACCCAATCTCACCTTGCCTCGTCTATACTAAGCCAGATTCATACACCAACAGCACAATTACATGATAACGTGGGCATATAATATTATTTGAATACTGCCACATCTACAGCTCACAACTATGGAGCTAAAAGCATGCAAGTTACACCATGTTATGGACAAAAATGTATGGTCCACATTGTATCTGTACATCGTATCAGTAGTGCATGCACACATGCTGTGAGTTTCATGTACTCTAAACAGTATCTTCGTTACTAATTGAATAACGATACTCTTAACCATGTCACTGTTTATATAGTTACTCCATACACGCTACGGGTGTAAAAGGACCAAAGTATGAGATTGTATCTGTCTATATATGAGCGACATAGCGCAGCGATGGGGCATCTGGATACCCCGCGTTTGCCCGTGCGGAAATCAGTGCGTTATACTCAGTTGGCTTGACCGCTTCGCGCTTGAAAGAATAATACCAAAAAAATCTTAACCTATCTATCTATCAATGCATGCATCCATCCATCCCCATCGCGATGCCATACCCATCCCATCCACTCACCTTGAATCCAATTCCCATTCAATCCCATCCTATATCCCATCCCGACTTCTTCATTGCCACATGCCCGATGACATGCCATTGCTATGCCATCCAATCTCATCTGCCATATCCATTTACCATCCAATCCCAGTTCCATGCATCCCAATCCATGCACATCCCCATGCACCATGCCATACCATCCCAGACCATAAAAAATAATAAGAAATTCACAAAGATTAAAAGACATTAAATACTAACAAATAAAAAAAAAAAAGAGTAAAAAATTAAAAATGATACTATCACTACAAGCAGGTAGGGTAAAGCGGAAAACAAAGGAAAAAGCAGAAAAAATGAAGTCCCCAGCTGGAGCTCGGAACCCGCCGAATCCCGGGGTGGGGGTAGTGAAGTGAGAATGGGATTTCTAGGCATTAGGCACTGTCGGGCGCCGGTTAAGGATGATAAACCGTGGAATTCACGCGTATCATATGCAAACTCGTATGCTGGGAATGAACTAAGAATTTTTATGAATTTTTTAACTCTTTTCTTCAGCCAGAACCAGTCCTCCCAGACATGCTGTATTCTGAAAATATCTTTGTTTGCTCTCATTAGGCTGCGATGTCTCTTAGCTATGCGAGTACACATATCTAATTCGCCGCTGCACGACAACTTGTATATAATACTAGCAGACTAATACGCACGCTACAACGACCAAATCCGTGACTCCTGTAAAATTATAAACTTTCATGTAAGGGACATTCAGTGAAGTAAATATCACTGTCAAACTGATAAAGGAAAACAGCGAAACAAAAAAACCATTTTGAGAGAAAACAAAGCAGCGCCAATTCTATAGTGTAGCAGGGCGTAGGGGAAAAAGTGCCGCAGTTCAGTTGACCACGTTGTTAAAGAAAAAACCGCAATAATCTATCTATCTATCTATCTTATCTATTATCTTATCTATCTATCTATCTATCTATCTATCTTCTATCTATCATATCCTATTTACACTACATCCTATCAATCTATCTATCTATCATCCTATCTATTCTATCTTAATCTATCATACTCTATCATCATCATAATCCTAATCGTCATCCATGCCACTGATCCATCCCATCCTCGCACGCAGTCCATGCCATAGCCATGCCATGGCATCCAGCCATCCATCTCATCTATCCCATATACCCAGGGTTAACCCAGCCCACCCCATGCCCCCCCATCCCCATTCCTCTTCTATCCGCATCCCTATCACCATCCCTTCACCTACTATGCCAATCTCATGGGATCTGATCCGATAGGATAGATTCTATCATCTATCTATCTATCTCTATGTCTATCTATCTATCTAACTATTCTATCTATCTATCTTATCTATCTTATCTGTACTAATCTATCTATCTATCTATCCATCTACCATGCATCCATCCAATTCCATGCCCATGCCAGCCATCCCTCCATTCCATCCATTCCACGCATTCATGCCATGCCATTTAGCCATGTCATTCATCATCCCATCCCTTCATCCCATCCCATTATACCCATGTGGACCCATCGCACCCTCCATCCCATCGTCTTCTATCCCACCGCATCCCATCCATCCTATGCCATCTCATTGGGATCTATCCGATTCCCCACGCAGTATCGGACCCCATCCCCCATCCACTCCAATCCTCAAACAATAAAAAATGAAATATAAAAATATAAAGAACATGAACAATACATAATAAATAATAAATATTAGTAAAAATAATAGTAATAAATAAATTGTAATTTTTTCAATTTTAACTCTTAATGATTTTTAATGAATGTTAGTAAATTATTTTTTACATTTTGAAATTCACGCTGAAGCGGCAGAAGTAGATACTAAAGAGAAAAAAAGTAAATGAGAAATTTTTTCCCCCAGCTCAGATTTGAACCCGGAATCTCGGGTTGTGAAACCGAGCTCCTACAGACTACGCTACGGCGGCGGGTAAAACACACATAAAAAATTCCCACCTACGTGATGATTGAATTTGGACTTTTACAATTTTTTTTTTACTTTTTAACTTTTTTAAATTTTTGTCTCAGCCAGAACAATCTGCAAGACGTGGTGATTCTGAATATATCTTCAGTTAGCGCGATTGAGTGAAAAATCACGGAGAAAAGCGAGGTCAAACAAACACAAGCACTAAAACACAAGATTAGCTGCTTTATAGTAAGGATAGATGGGGAAGTAATAGATACTAGAAACTAATACATACTTGTCAGAGGGAGGGGTTCCAGAATCCGTCCTGTCCAGAAGCTGGTCTGTGACCTTCTCTTCATCGTCGTTGTACGATCCCATGTTGCCACGCAGTTCTTTAACGTCTGATGTGGCTTCACTCACACTCCCAGATTCCTATACGTGCAAGAGAAGAACACGTAAATGTACATCATCCTTTGTACCAAAGCCACGTGGGCAACGACACAAAGTGTATATAGTACGCAGACATATGTGATTGACGACGGAAGCAAATAATGTACTTTTCAAAAGCGGTTAGCGAAGGAACACGTGCACGTTCCAAATCGACACACATTGCTATAGTAACCAGCTATAATGTAGAAACTAGGTACCGACCCACATTTATCCATTTTTATGCAAAATTTTGTTTTTATCAAAGGTTTACATCAGTGGGTAGACGTTTGACTCATGCACACGTGATCTTTCACCCTAACATTCTGTATGAAATTTACTTGTTTTGCAAATACTACCTATTGCGTTCAATGTGATCACAGTTCTATAACTTTTATAGGCATGGCAACAACAGACATAACAATAAGAACTGACAGCAAGTCCATCTCACAGGTCTTTCAGCTTTCAAACAAAGGCATACCAAAATCAGTCGCTCTTACCTTGTCGACGCCTTTCATTATGGATGGGCTATCATACACAAGTACTGAAACCACTGGCAAACACCACCAATTACCATGTGAAATTTATACCAATTCCTGCTTGACTAAATGCTGAAATGACAGCCGAAACTACAATTTCTTTTTGATTCTCACCTTATGAATATCCCTACTTAGGCACCTTGACCTATATATATAGGAACACAAGGTGTAAGCCGCCACTCACGAGTAACACACCATAGGATCTAACGTTAACAGTAAGATTGCACTCCACTAATCTGTATGTGGACCAGAAAATACAAGGTAAAGATAACCTCGTTTATGAGTGCACGCTATCAGTGCCACAAGAAAAATGTCCGAAAACGGCCGGTGCATTATTAGGTCAATTACACCACTATCCAGACTTGAAACTACACGAGCATGTCTGACCGAGCTCACCTTTAAAAAACCCGTCTGTTAAAGGTGAGTTCGGTCAGATGTGCTCCTGTAGTTTGCGAGGTTAAGTGAGGTTATCTTCACCACGTGCTTTCTGGTCCACATACAGATTAGTGGAGTGCAATCTTACTGTTAACGTTAGATCATATGGTGTGTTACTCGTGAGTGGCGGCTTACACCTTGTCCCTATATATAGGTGAAGGTGCCTAAGTTGTGATATGCATATAAGGTGAGAAGCAAAAAGAAATTGTACTTTCGGCTGTCATTAACAATTGAACAATTTAATGTTAAAAACATTTTTCTTGTTTAAGTTTTGACAGCACTGTTAGTTTTTATATTAATTTAGCTCTGATCTAAAGGACACTTGTGAGTCTTTTACTGCTTCGCGAGTACTATATGAGTTTTAACTCCATAAAAAACTTATGGTTCTTACAACATTCAGAACGTTTTACAATTGGATACACAATTTTTTAATTTTTAATTTTCTGATTGTTGCCATATACATTGGGAATAATAGTTGTTTTATGCAACTCTAATTTCTAAACGACAGTTAGACATTTAAAAATGCTGCCTTTATTATTTTAACAAATTGTGATGAAAAATATATACATGGTACTGTTTGAATTCTTAGGGAAAGATCCATTTTAAGACACGTGTCATCCTGTCACGAGAAGAGCAATTACAAAACAAAAGCATACTATATATGAATAGCACTCTAGGATCGATAAAGGCTCACTATAGGTGCAATGTTACACTATGCTAACCATATGATACACAGTGCAATATTCATACAAATGTAATTAAAGAGAAAGCTAAAGATGAGCGGATAAAGGGAGAGAGACGGAATGAGCAAGGGAGAGAGTGGGAGGGAAGGGGAGAAAGGACAGGATGGAGGGAGAGAAAGGGATGCAAAGAGACTAACTAATAGAAAGAGAAAGCATGTGAGAGAGAAAGAGGGATGGAGGGATAGAGCGAGAGAGAGAATGAGATGAGAGAAACCTAACCCTAACCCTAACTCTAACCCAAACTATTGGGGGGGGGGGGAGTCAGTGTCTTTCATAACAGACAAATGTCAAAGGAGATGAAATGATAATATTTTTACTAAAATATTATGCTTACTGAATCACTCCCAGCATGTGTTCACATGATCATCGTTTGTTAATTGTGAAATAAGAAGTTTATTCCTACTGAAAGTTGTTGTTGACCTTTCTATTCGATCAAATTTATCTCTATATGTCTTCGAGATGGTCTCTTGGACTTTGAAGAGTAATCTTTGAGGTTACGAGGTTATCATAGATGCTGCTAGCTGCTAGTAGGCTATACGTCTTGTGCTAAGCTGAATCAGATAATGGCAGAATGGCTAATCTTGCAGAAAATTATACTTATATTACACTTACAGTAGAAATCCAAAAATCTGGACTGCTCTGGGATTGGGTCGCTCTGGACTTTCGGATTTTCCGGATTCTCGGGCAGTAGTTTTAAAATTCAAATTTCAGGAGGAATAAAGAAGAGATAAACAGGTAAATTTTGATAGTTTATTCATTAGCAAATACAGCATGCTTCATTTATCAAAACAAGCAGAAAAATAAAAGATAAAGATCTTATAACTTTTAAAAATAAAGTCAACACTTGACAAAAATGTCAACAAAAAATTTTCACTACAAAAAAGACCGTGTAATGCTTGAAATCATGTTTAAACCTAAACATTTTAAAAGAAAAATACAGTAAACAAATGAAAGTGGAAGTTTTTTTATACAAATTAATTATTTATTTTGAGTTTAATAAACAAACCAGAGTTAAATTTTAGTTTTCGAAAAGTCTGGATTCTCGGGTGGTCCGGACTTCTGGCATCCGGATTTTTGGACTTCTACTGTATAGACTAAGTATACTATAGTATTGTGACCCAGCAAACGCATTAACGCATGACATGTGATAAACTAATCAGTAATCCGGGGTGCTAAACTGTATGTAAGATGTGTGGCAAAATTGTAGACTACGGTAAAACCTTGTTATACCGCCCCTCGTAATACCTCCAATCTCACTTATCGCCGCCAGCTTTATGGCTATGTACAATCCTATATAAACGCATTGAGTAGAACATGTGCGACTCGCTGCGACTGCGCTGCGACTGACAATTTTCCAGTCGCAGACCCGTTGCTGACAGTCGCAGGGGTGCTTATGTCGAACTTTCTCTGCGACGCGATCGTCGCTGCGACTTGCAACCAGTTGCAGAAAATCAGTCGCAATGCAATCGCGTCGCGTCGCAAGGCTGCAAGCCTAGCGCAGACTTGCGACTTTTGGTTGCTCGTCGCTGCAACCTGCAACCGCATGCGATCGGTCGCACGCTTCACCGTGTGTATGCGATTTCGAAGCAATTTCGACTGCGATTCTAGAATCGCAGTCAAAATTGCTTCGAAATAGCATACACACGGTGAAGCGTACAACTGATCGCATGCGGTTGCAGGTTGCAGCGACGAGCAACCAAAAGTCGCAAGTCTGCGCTAGGCTTGCAGCCTTGCGACACGACGCGATTGCATTGCGACTGATTTTCTGCAACTGGTTGCAAGTCGCAGCGACGATTGCGTCGCAGAGAAAGTCCACATAAGCACCCCTGCGACTGTCAGCGACGGGTCTGCGACTGGAAAATTGTCAGTCGCAGCGCAGTCGCAGCGAGTCGCACATGTTCTACTCAATGCGTTTATATAGGATTGTACATAGCCATAAAGCTGGCGGTGATAAGTGAGATTGGCGGTATTACCAGGGGCGGTATTACCAGGGGC